CATGAAACTCTAATTCGTGAGCAGAATTAAATGTAAGGAGAAAAATAAGAGAGGAGAAAGCAGAATTCTCAAAGATATTCAAGCAGTAACTAAGCCTAAATTTTAACCCCCCAAACCAAGAAAACCATCTGTGCCTTATTTTTACCCAGCTTTTCATTTAAAAGTAGGGTATAAAATATTGATTTAGCTAATTACAATGTAGCATTTCAGCTATGCAAAAGTAACTGCCATTTCCTTCTCTTTGTCTCTGCATGCCATTAAACAAAGAAACTAAGGACTCATTCTAGTATACATCTTTCTCAAGTTGACCAAAAGAATAAGGGGGAGGGGGGAAAGCAGCAATAGATACTGTAAATAACTACCAATCTCTCGTGTTATTCATTTATAATACACTGAGTTTGTGTCACAACCGCTTTCAATGTGCCATGGGAATCATTCATAGTAAAGTATGTGCTTGAGTCTTGTTGAAGGAAATAAGCAATCTATTTTCTGATTTTGTAACAGCAGCCAGATGTGCTTTGAAGTCAAATGTTCCCACTTTGTAATCCACAAGTAGCATGAACTTGAAGCAATCTATAAAGACTCCTAACACTGACTGTATTCCTGCCCTTCTAGAAAACGTCTTGTTCTCTCCCAATACCTCAAGAGAGCGTACCACAATAAAGGCTGTCCAGAAGGGAAGATAGAAAAGGACTTATGGGAAACATGAAAGTCTAACAGAAAGCAAAGGCAAAATTAATTAAGCTCCAATAGCATAAGTCACACAACTGAACATTTCTTCCTCAAGAAGCAAATAGAATAACAATAATAAAACACACAGTAATGTAAACTAGACATGAATACGGATATTTAAATGCTCTCTAATGAGTTTTGATATTATGCATTGTTTTATTTTACAGTAGACTTACTTGTTGGACTGCAAAGGGTTTTGTTGCTTTGTGACTCCTGATTTCCTATTACTTAGGATTTGGTTACACTATCAGAAGCATCTTTCTCCAGTGGAATGGCTGGTAGTTTCGAACCGCTGACTTTGAGGTTAGCAGTTCAACTCGTAACCATTACGTTATCAGAGTTCCTTTATCAAGCAATATGCCACTAGTAATCCAACTAAAATAAATGTATTAAGTCACGACATCAGTCAGAAAAACTGCTAAACCTCTCTCCATAGCATAAAATAAATCCAATACCAACATCAAATCGATTATGCCCCAAATTATGTTATGGAGTCAGAGTTTTGGAACTTGGAAAAATGTTTTCCACAGAAATAATACTACAAACAAAAGTTCATTCACTAATCTATTCACAACCTTTCTATATACATTTAACTTGCATAAATAAAATTCAGATACAAAACACCGCCCACTTGCACAAGGTTACATAAGCACATAAGGCAAAGGAACAGAACTGAGACAGGCATGTATTGTGGCCTGATTTGTGAGACAAATGACACCGTGGTCCATTAGGAAAACAAAGGTCTTTTCAATAAATGGTAGTGTCACCTGGGTATCTACAAGGAACAAAAAAGAAATCTTAATTTTCAACCTCACAATATATGAGGGAGCTTCAAGAAGCTTTGGTAGTTTGCAGATCTAAATGGGAAAGGTCAAACAGCCAAGCTTCCAGCAAAAAGCACATAAAGATATCATCAGAAACCTATGAGCCTCAGAGATTATCTTATATATATAAATAGCATTAACCAAAAGCATAAAATAAACTGCACTGAGGTCTGTTCATCAGAAGACACCA